TCCGCCGAAAGACAATTAATTAAAAGCGAGACTCGCCGTTCCCGAGAGCAAACTGGTTGCGAGTACGACAACGGCAACCGGGGGGCAAAAAAAAAGAAAAATTCGCGGCGGGCGCGCGCGTTAACTTTCATTCGTACGTGCATTTGCATTGTGCGCGTGCACAACGAGTTTTCAAGTTTGTCGATTCACTTCGCAACGAGAGAACTTTCGGTAGGTCGCCTGGCGCGTCGGCCAAATAACGATCTGTTCGCGGCGACGACACGACAAACAATGAAGATGCATTTTTACGTTACGCGCGAGGCTTTCTTCGCTGACGGATTTCCCATTGTCGCGAAGCGGCTGGACGTATCGGAGAAAACTTGCCAGTGATAATTATCGTTTGTCTTGATGACGGAGAGGCTCTTTAAGTAATTGCACTCTCTCTTGCTCCGTAGGCACATTTCGTTAGAAAGAAACAATCGGTGTGCTAACTAGTACGTTGAATTATTCCCTCGGGGTTATCTCAATAATTACGTGAGTTTCGAAAAAAAAGAAAAAAGTCAAAGGCGAGCGATCCATCAATCTAAGCGTGGAAGGTAAACGAAACGTAATATATGAGTTATAAAGTGACTGCAAGCGACCTAGATCAATAAGTAGCACACTGGAAAAAACCGCGACCACTTGAATGACACAATAGCGAATATAGTATTTCGGCTTATATTCGCCAGCTCAACTGTGATTGTCGTTTTCGCTATTATAAATCGTTACCGCTTCATAAATCACCATCCGATAGAACACACAGCTGCTTTTCAATTCAGCGCTCAAATCATTAACGATCTCTCTCGCATTGGCGAACGTTGTATCGATGATTTTTTTTCCACGTTGCGGGTTATAAATAAATCGACAAGCTGCACTTGCTCGAGTCGCGAGCGTTACATACGCGTTTATGCTATTTCTCCGCGCGCGCAGTGACAGAATCCATTAAGGACTTTTTTCTTCCTCTCGCGCGCCAAATTACACCGTGCGCAGAGTCCAATTCTGTTTTCTTCTTTCCCTCTTCTCGGCGAACGATAATAACTCACGAGATATCAACGTTTTCGTAGATAGCCATCGACAAATTCCAACATGCGAACGCTCTGGAGCACAACGACATGTCTTAATAAACGGCCGAATTTGGCAATCGATATACGTGTCTCTGGCGACTTTCAAGTGGGAGTGTCAATAAAGTCGTAGTCGAAAGAAAGCAAGCAAATACCAAGTCCGAGTTGTTTGCAGTGAACCGGCTCGATCTCTTCTTCGGGATATTGCGGTATTGTTTGTACAATCACGCCTACCAAGTTTCTCTCTGCCCGCGATACATCTATTGGCCTGCGGCTGTGATTTGAAAAACAACAGGACATTTCATTGTCCGCCGCGCAGCGTCAGGAGAATCGAATGAAAGTCGCCGGTTCGTGGACGCGACGAATTTTTAATATTCAGAGGCGTTCTTCTTCTCCTTGGCACGCTCGCGAACTAGTTTCCATTTGGTTTTTGCCGTCATAGCGATTTTCCGGCACCAGCAAGAAAATATTTGCGATTACGCGACGCTGTACTCTTTTTCCTGCCAATCGTAATTCTAGACTTGGACGGCTCGTCAATTTTTCAAGGTAGGACGCGTTAAAGCAAAACCAGCGAAGATGCAATATTACTTAGCGCGCGTGAAAATAAAGCAAGGCGAAAACTAGAATAGCAAGAAAATCACTCCGCAAGTCACACGCTGGCAAGCCCAGCGGAACTGTATAGTGGCAGCATCGCATTCCCGAAGCCTTAATACTCTCGGGCGCATTTTCCGTATCATTTTATTGCGGCGACGTCGGAATATAATCCAACAGCCGATGCACACACACGCGGGCGCGCATTCGCATGGAGCAAATGCGAATCCTGTACACAAGTCGGATTTCGCAAGGGGGCAGGCGGGCAGGCACGCATGACTAATCTCGCGCGGCTACATACGAAAACGAAAAAGGAAGCAGCGCGAAGCCTACTGCACGGATTCGGTTCGTTCGTTCGGCTGCGGTTCGGAAAGAGCGTTGATTTATTACCCGCAGCCTGATTAAAATCTGCGCGTACAAAGAGACCTTTGCTAAATATATTCAATTAAAGTCGATTGATTATACATATTATACGCATGGCGTGTATCGGCTTCTAATTAGAGCTGCCTTCGTCTTCATTTTTTCTTCGTTTTTCGCTCTCGTTACGGAACTGGATGCACGTATATGCGTGTCTGCGATAATCTTACGTCTGCTTGTTTCTTCATTATTGCAATGACAGGACGTTCGGTTACCGTTGGGAAACTTGTCTCTGTGACAACGTTCGAGTGTCCTGCGCGGCACTTCTCTTCTGGCTCTCGCTGTAGAATGCAACTTGCGATGATAAAGTGCCTTTCTTCGTTTTCAACACGCGACCATTTTTTTTTCTTCGGCTGGCAGATGCCAAACAGGAACAATCCCGTGGAATGGAGAAGCCGCGCGGCTAATTGACGTCTTTGAAGAGGACGATTCCGCAGCAAAGGGTTGATCAACCGACATAATGTCCAATCACGGCGAAGTGGCGGGCTCGACGCGGCACAAATCGGGCCGATAAACGGGCGCCGCGCACAATTGAAAGCGCGAATCAGCCGACCAGCTGTTTGGGCCCGCGCAAACACAATGGGCCAAATTGGAAGTTAATAAATGCCCTTCCGGCTGGCGCAGCTCTTATCTCGGGATTACGCGACACTCCCGCGCATTATACAAAGAAGGACTGCCAGCCTGCCCCGTGGCCTATGAATAATCTCAATCTGCTGCCGTTGCTGCTTTCTTGTACTTGCGCCTCGATCTCTTATTATTTCTCTTTGAAATTCTCTGCGGGTGGCGCTCGTTCTTTTACTTGGCCGTTGTCTCTTAGAGCAGCGCGGCCCGTCCCACCCACAGCCACTCGTAATCTCTTCTTCTTTTCTCTTACTTCCGCTCTCCTTCTGCGTTTTATCTGTCTCCCGCGATAAAATCTACTTGTTTTGTCATCTTCTCTCGGCTACATTGCACAAGGGGCCGCGCGCTCGGCAGTTTCTTCACGTTTTCAAATCAATGCCGTATTTTTCATTGCGCAGCTCTAGTCCTCGATATTACACCGAGCGCTTTCGAACTTCCTCGGTACTCGAAGAAAGTTTCCGACGAACGAAAAGAAACGACCAATACGGAAATCATTCGCACGGGCAAGGTCCATTCGTTTGACAGTGATACTTTTGTCGAGCACTTCCGCACGATCGCGACAAATCGGAACGAGATATTCAAATGAGAAAGTGAACGAATACGGGTAGCTCTTCGGGTGAATCACCCCGCAGGACATCCGTTGTCGGTTTTGCTGACTAGCGAGAATGCGCATTAAACGGCGCGCGCCAGTAAAACGAGCAAAAGAATCGGCGGTTATCGAAGATATCTTTCCGTTCGAGCGAGCAAACACGCGTACGCGGGGCTCGCGTCCGCGGCGAACATTAAACTCTCTAACGCGGCCAATCTCGCCTTCCGCGTCTTCTTCTCGGCTGCGCGCGCTCGCTGCTCTCTTATTCGCTGCGTGCGCGAGTCGTAAATACAATCATCGCCGAAGGCACGCGCGAGCGCGCACGAAAGCGATGCAAATCTCTCTCTCTCTCTCTCGCTCGCAGCGATGATGCTCCGCCGCGAGAATGTCGTCCGCGGGCTCGGCAGGCGACGCGATTCGCCTGCGCACGCCTCTCTCAGCGGCCAACGAAAGTTGATTTGCGTGCTTACGTCAGCCGCCGTGTGCACTTTCATCGTGATTTCGATTGTCGACGCGCGCTGCGAATTCGAGCTTGGCCGCGCTCCCGCGCGGACCAACAACTTTCGACGATCGCGTAACTGGAAAGGACTCGGAACTGTCAGTGCATTTGAAAATTAACTGCTTCCACCGAAAATACATGCCCTCAACGGGTTTCTTCAAATTCAGGCCACAAGCGAATTGATCGTTTGATACCTAAAAAGTTAATGACCGATAGAGATAAGCAGTGCTTTCTCGCGTCAAACGCTCGAGAAATTAAGGTAAACGTCTAAACAGTCAATCACTCGATCAAACACATGCCCATACACGATTTAAGATTGCATACGCGTGCAATCAAAAAGTTTCGGTCTACCGATCACCAATACCAGCTCTCGTTAAAATTCATGAGGCAAACTTGACAGATGGCTGACGCTTGACGGAATGCTCCATAATGTGCTTCGGATTAAACTCGATTAGATGAAAATTTATCCGCGCTTAAACACACACACGCAGACACTTATCGCGCTTTCTAACGATTTTCGCGAGCGCGCATGCAAGCCGGCAAGTGATTTCAATGCCTTCGATGTTTACCGAGGCGTTAAACCTGCTGCAGGTTCAGCACGCTGTGGCACCGTGAAAACTTCATCAACAGAACCACTATATGCTCGCGTCGTTCGAAAATTAACAACAACGCCCACGTAACCCATTTCCGCTCGCCACTCGCTCCGAACGAAAAATCGTTATGCGTCATCCTCTCCACGTGCTTTGCACACGATGCGCGATCGTGTCCTTTTCCTCTTCCCGCGAACCTCGGAGAGAGACAGTCGAGTGCACACGCTGAGGATTTGCGTTCGCGTACATTACGTCTGCCAGGTGATTTCTTTTTCTCGATCGTCCTTGATTCTCTCATTCTTTCTCTATTAGCAAACGAGCTAAGAGCGTGAAGATTGCTTATTTGAAGAAAGAATCTTACTCACACGCGAACGTATTGCGTAAAGGCTCGAGTGTTGTTTTGGAAAAATGATTGACAACGTACAGAGCTTCGTATAATTATATCTTGCGGGAAAGCAAACACTCCGATTCTAGGTTCATTTCCGTCGGGGTAAACAAGTAGAGTGCATATGTGCGGTTGCACAGCCAAGCCGCTCGCGCGCGCGAACGTAGGAAGAAGAGAGAAAGAAAAAACTGACGAGAGAAAAATACATATACACAGCGGCGCGACTCACCATGGCGTTGGATTCTTTCACTCAAGTGCAGCAGTACGCGTGGGTCGAAACAACCGGCATATCCAGAACACGCAGCGCAGTTGTAAAATGTACCTATAGGTGTTTGATTTGGTTCACTGTAATATAGCAACTCTTCATGTCACTCTCGCTTTCTCTCTCTCTCTCTCTCTCTTTCTCGTTTTCCACAATCAACACACTCGGCGACACGTTAGATATAACGTCACACACTTGTCGCGCACGCACAGAATCGCACAGCACACTCTTCGATCTCGCGTTTGCACAGCTGCGGGACGGCAACAGGTGGCCGGCGAACTGTCTAACCTAGTAGTAAGCCTATTTCACGTATGTGGTGGCGAGCGCGACAGAGCGCCAAGCCTGAACGTTAGCGAACCTGGCGAGGACGCCGAACGACTGGTGCGAGAAACCGGCAGGTACTCGGTCCCAGAACTCTCGACTGCCCCCTCTACTCTTGATACCCTACACACGCGCCTACATACACAGCGACGAGCTCTCTTTTACCTGAGGCTCTCTACGTGCAGCACTCTCCTCTTTTCCTCTCTCTTTCTCTACTCTTTCGCAGCAGCAGCACCGACATTTGACTTCTTTTGCTCACGCAGCCTGAACATCTATAAAGAGAATTCTAGGGATCGTCTCAACATTATTTTTCACACTGCCGATCCTCGCTAGTGTTATGGTTTTTGAAATTTGAGTGATCAAACACTCTGGCAGATATGTAGCGCCTCAATTCTGAACCGACATTAATAATCGTTTTTCCAAGGAAAATAAAAGTCTAAGTATAGACCAATCAAAATTAGGAGGTAGAAAATAACTAGAAACGTTGTACAACTACAGGAAGAAAACACAAGAATCATGATTCGTGACATTTTTAATGAAATGTGCAACAAGATATAAATTCATTTTCCCAGTCATTCATTACAATTTTCCCAGTCAACTTGCACTAACAGAAACTTATTATATAATCAGTTAAATATACGGGTACACTGTGTAATCGAATATATTATTTCAAAGTAAATATATAGCTTTGAAACATTCCAAAAGTTGCAGGGGAGTAAGTCTATACATGCTAATGACCTTAAGGAACCAATACCAAGTACGTAATGTTCTTGTATCTTTGCAGCGTTCCACATGAGCGTCATTCTTGAAGTAATGACAATAACAAGTGCTATGGCCGTTTACATTAAAATTATCAACTATATAACATACTCCAGGATACAAAATATACAATGAGAAATTATGTGAACCCATTACATCTTCTGTGCAGTACCGCAATTTCCATTAAATAATATGACAGGAATAATAACAAAAATGTAGAACAAGTAAAATAGCGTAGGTTACGAATAAACCTGTGATATTGAGTCGGATATTTCACAAAGTGAACATAACATCGAATAGAAACAATTGGAAGCGTTCGCATGGTATTTTTAGAAATACTACTGAAATGAACATTGATTGCAATGAGAATTTGATGATTGTATTGTAGATGTTGTATTATCCGGACGTGCAAGAGATTATGTCGCAAAGCATGTAAGAGTAGCATAATGCAAAATCAATTTCCGAAATATCTACTGAAGTGGTGATCAAAGAAGCAAATCTGCCAGAAAAACTTCGATTAAACGATTTCGCAAATGCTTGCTGTAATCTTAAACCTGACTGCTCATTGATTCACTGATATCTTTTTGAAATATCTCTTTGACTAAAATTTTGCGAAAAAACAACGAAACTTGTCTAACAGCCCAGTGCCATTATATCAAACCAATCAACAGTACATTGTAAAATACATTCAATTTCGAAAAGACAGTGAGTTGTAAGCTTGAAAATTTATCAGCGCTAGTCCGATAATTTTTAATGCAAAATGAAAAACGTACTTGATGAATAAAGTCTGGATATTATTCAAATTTTTATGATTCATTTCCATTATATCTACGAAGAACCTTCAAGGAGACTTTCGATATTCGTTGTCATCAATTAATAACTACTCGTGCTTGATGAAAAATTATTGGAATTACTTCCGGTAATCAATTACTGCGTATTGAAGTTTCCTCTAATTCGTAATTTCTTTTTGTATATGCAGCATTCATTATATGTATTGGAAAATTATTTCATATTATTCACTAGTAGCATGAAGTTTAAATAGTCGCAAATACTATGATTTTTAAAATCTCTCAGTGATCTGATACAATTTCTATACTGATTGTCACCGCCTAGAGCCTTCTTGCAATGTGTGTCGCACGAATTTTTATTACATTCTTCTTTATTGTTATTATTAGATCGATGGGACTCGTAAAAATTATTCGCTGCATTCATGCCTGTAGTGAAATATAAAATTGTTCAAATACTAAACCATCGTAATATTAAGATTAGAAGAATAGTTTTTTAGAAATTTATAGAATATTTCAATAAATTTTGTTGAGTGCAAAAATAAAAATAATTATTTAATCTAACAATTGTGTTCACAGATCATTTAAATTTATAAATTATAAAAAATGTGTCAAAGATCAGAAACAATTCTTTTTAAGACTCCATACAATAACTACATAATACCAAAGTACTTGAACAAGACAACATAATAAAAAGATCCAAACAAAATTCATGATAACGTGAAATAATTTCAGAAATTATTTGGACAAATAATTACAAAGATACTTACATGGAAAAATTTGAAGCGATACTACTAAGAAAATACATATATTTAGCTTAATCATTGTTTAAAGAAAGATGAATTTTATAACTCGAAAAAAAATATTTAACTTATTCCAATGCAATACGAAATTGCTGGTCATCGCCGCGTTCTCACAGCTTTTATTTAAAAAATGATACGTAAAAAAGACAAAAGACAACGTATTAATTTACAAACACCCGATTTACTAATCGCGCTGTTATAATTTTATCGATACAGTTCTTTTGAATAGCATCTATACTATTATCGTATTTATGATAAGCGGTGTTAGGTGAGCTATTATATTTTGAGTTTATAAAGATTGTTTACGTGAAAAATAATACCTTATTGTTCATACCTCCTGTATGGCAACTTTCTTTTCGCCTGCCGTTTTTGTCGTCATTTTTTAATCAAAGTAGTGTTTTTGCAAAAGAACTCATGTTTTTTATATATGAGACTATATACTACAATCATTCTTTCTCTTGCTTGAATTCATTTTAATAATCTTGATTATAAATTGAGAAATTTCTTTCTGAATTACCCTGTAATATTAGCAAATCATAGATTGTCTACAGAAAGAGATACTTCTTATTTAGATCTTTTTCAAGAATGTGTATTCAAGTCAAGTACAAATGTCTGAATGAAATTTTTTTCATGTACGTTTAAATTAAAGCTTAATGATACTCGTACAAACATTCAAATATGTCAGATTAAAATATTGCTAATATTGCTGGCAGTCTGTTTGCCTTAGAGTTACATAAAGAATACTTTGAATAACAACAATACGTCATATTGCAATAAAAATTTAGTAATTCAAAAATAGGAATGAATTATGCAGCTATACGTCACAAAGTAGACGTTGTTATTTTGAAGTAACTGAATAGTACAAGTCTATCGTTATACAATACGTAACGAATAATTTTTAATGAGATTAGTGATTAAAATTATTTTTGAGTTTTATTAACCTTTCAATCTTATGTAGTATAAATTTATATTTATAAATAAAAAGGTTTTATAGAAAAAAAATTTCTGGTTAGCAAACTAGAATATCTATACTATTAAAGACTAGTGATGTCGTCTAGCGCGTTTAGCTCCTCTTGTTTCTTTTTCCCTAATTCACGAACTTATTGCGAGTTCATTACAGTTTACAACCAAACCAAACTCCACAACATCTTTTCATTAACAATTATAAACAAAAAAATAACAATAAAACGTTTTCAAAACTCTTTTAATACGTTTAGCAAACGTTTTTTACACCTATCAAATCTGCAAAAATCTGCGGACATTTAAAACGTTTTTTTCACCGAAGATTTAATAACGTTTTCTGGTTTTACACAAAACGTTTTGGAAAAAATGTTTTGTGCTGTTTGAGTATTTTTAAGGATTTTTGAAAAACAGATGAAAAGTAATGCAGAATTTATCTTTACTGTATGGAAATATCGCATAAGCATGATTATGTAATCGAAACTAACGAATTTCTTATTAATAATTTGTATAAATGATGTATCCTGATGAAAATTCATATTCTGAAGCATGAAGGGCAATTTTGGCTGGGCGTTGTTCTGAGCTTACAATTTACCGATACGTTTTGTACTTCATTGTTACCCTACATTGTGCGCACGTAACGCAGGTGTTCCTTTTGCGTAAACTTACTTTATATTGTTCGAAGTGAATTATTTTAACGTAATTCTAAAAATTACTTTTTAATAAGTTTTCTCATCATGTTACTTTTACTTTTTTTATATAGACCGCATCCTTTCTGAATCTTAATTAATAAATATTTATTAACGTAGTTGAATTTTATATTCATTAAAACAATTTAATAGTGTTTTAAAACAATTAAATTAGTATTATAAGTAATGCATTCAACTGAATTTCTCTATAATAAAAACATTAAGTTAAATGCAATATTCTATCAGAAACTACGACGAATTATATAATCTATTTTGTAAATTAAATTTATGAATAATACCATTTCTCGTTAATGTGGCTATTGATCATGCCTTTATATAATAACCATAACAATGTTATTATTCTTTAAAGTATATTATTATCGCAGTAAAAATTTCCATATGAAAGTTCATTTTTTGTCTTAGACTGATAAATAAAATAATATACATTATATAAAATAAAATTGAATTTTGATAAATAAATGTTGTATATTTAACTAACCAATTGTCAACAATAAATTCTGTTTCTTTACCTTAAAATGTGTACAAGATAAAAAAAATTTTTCTAAAAAAATTACGATACGGGTACAGCTACGGCGACATTATCATCTTCTTCCTCTTCAGGAGCTGGCTGTTTATTATCAGAACTTTCTTCTTTAGTATATATAGTATGATCTATTTTCAATCTTGCTTTTGATGAAGGACATTCAACTCGAATCCTGTAAAATTTTGTTTAATAAATGGGTAACAATTTAATAAGAAAAATAAACATAGTATATACTTACCTAGTAATAAAAAAACCAGGTCTCTTTGGTTTTACTTTCATAATACTATCTACAGCATCTTGCAAGTTGTCTTCCAAATGTTCAGTTGGCATATCCAACTAAAAAGATCAATCGTGTCGTAAAAATTGTAAAAATAGAATCAAAAAGTTGTATATCGCAAATAAAAATGTAAAATTTGCTGTACCGTGCCAATAGGAATAGTTGTTTGTCCATACTCTGGATAATGATCATATGGTTTTGCAGTATATTTTATGCCACGAAGATGAGTATTCAGCATGGTTTTCAAATCTGGGCTCACAGTTCCTAGAATTTGTATTATGATCATTTTAATTAAACTTTATCACTCACAAATTTAAATGAAAAATACATAATGTACATATGATGGAATCTTATAATAAATTATAAGTTTACCTTGCTTAATTGTTGGATGTTTCTTTTTTAACAAGCCACGAATAGTTAATATTTCTGGCATCATAGAAGGATGAGCAATTACAGTGTCATAATTACTTACAGAAATTTCACCACTCTAAAAATATTATTAATATCATTAGTAATTGTCATGATGATAGTTGCTTTAATATTAACATGAGATATATTAAAACAAGTATAGGCTTATAGTATTGTAACAATTGATATACCATTATTAATTTTATGATATCTGATCCACCAGCAAGCGCTGCACCATTATCTAAAACTTCTTTAACTTCGTTCTCTGTCTTACAGAATACTAAAATTTGTCTGACTTCACCATGGTCAAAATTGTGTCTTACAGGAACAATGCTATGGAAAGTTTCAACAGGTTTTGTTTTTTTGACACCCTAAAATTATCCCAACATAGAATACATTATTAACATGTAACACGATGCAAAAGTTTTTAAAAACTATATAGTAGATAATAACCTGCATATTTAGCTCTACGTATATATTAACTAATGTATCTGGCATATTAAACATCGTTGGATGAAAATATTCTCTGTGAGACTCAATAGCCTCAGCAAATGAATAAATTTTCCATTGATAAAAAGGTCTATAATAGACATCATCTGTGGCAACAAGCTTTTTTTCGAAATTGTAGAGAATCATATCAGGCTTCACAATATTGCTGTAATAAAAGTATTTTTATCATCATTATTATACAGGCTGCTATAAAATATGTGTAATATTATTATAATTACTGTTCTAAAAATTCTGGAATATAGAAATTTTAGTAAATTTTGAACTAACTTACACTTTTTTGTGGCGCTTGATCTTTTCAGCTAATGTTAGTTTTTTAACTTCTACTTTAACTTTTTTTTTTCTCATCTTTTCGCGAGTTCCTTTTCTTGCAGCATAATGCCTGACTTGTGATAGAGCTCCAGGAAACATTCCATTGTACGCACCAAATCTATGAATAGCTTTTAAACTATTCATAATAATTCCTGAAAATAATGAACAAATGACACATATTACATAACTTAGCCTGTCCTACAACTGAACAAAAAATATTGGTTACGTAATTCAAAAGTAATAGTTTTGAATAAATTTCAATCAAGGAAAGAAATAGAGCTTTTTTATATACATATTAAATTTTAAGGTTAGTCCACCGTGGAAAATTTTTAACTGAACCGCAAATGTTTATCCTACGCTGATGTAATTCAATGAAACAACGTATTTTTATTAAGTATAATGTATGAATAGAAATTGATCATTTTTAACAGTATTTAAATAACAGATTATAAATTAACAACAATTCTCACCTCCTGAAACAGCCATTTTTCCAAAGCATATTTTGAAAACAGGTACACGGTTGGTAATACTTACCACAGCCCTATTTTATGCATGCGCTGTATGCATGCTATACACACACACGGACACATACACACACACATACACTATTAATAATCCAAAATGATTTAACTTTTAATTTAAAAAATATATTATTTTTCTAAAATTTCTAAAATTGAATGTTTGAATGATGTACGTTTATTAACCTTGATTCACAGAAGTACTCCGATACTGAATACATTATATCGCATAAAAATATTTTAAATTAATTAAATGCACTCTGAAAAAATTATGCAAAATTTGAAAGCACAATATTTCGACTTTTACATCGCAGTTGCAGCAGCGCTAAATATACCTATTCATAAAAGCGCGCATAGTTCACTTGACGACAAAAGGAATTAAATTGCGTATAAACGGTATAAAGTTCACGAATGCTAACCAATAAGAAGTCACAACAGTCATGAATCCGTCGCGTGTCGTCAGTTTTGATTATTGTGGTACTTCCGTCATATTAATATCGGCGGAAATACGTCAAAGTAACGGTCACGGACGCGTTTAGCAAGTAAATGTCGGCTGCTGTGTTGTATGCAGCCAATAGAACGTAGCCATAAGACGTGGTGTGTGTAGTTGTTGGCTGGCTGTCCCGATAAATGGAGTAGCTGCCCTTATAACTCTCGAGCTCTCTGGTCGGTGTGTGATTTGTTTATATATTGTGCGCGGCGCAAATAAAACTTGAGTGTGCAAGTGCTCCCTGAGGACGAGGAAGGCTTGTAGCTGTCGGTGAACAAACATAGTTTGAGATCTGGTTGCAGCGGCAGAGTTGCTTGTCTCCGCACAGTGCTCGCCGAGAGGTAGATGAAGGTGTGTATACGCTATCCTCTTCCTCGATTCTTTATCTCTGTCTTTCACCGGCCTCTCTGCAGCTTACTCACCTGCTTTTTCCTAGAACCCAACCTCCAACTAACCACGGTCAAGGAACTGTCGCGGTTTATTCGCCACCTCGGGCCGCGATATTGCGTGCTTTGATTACGCTCGCGATCGTTTGCTCTTTCGTGACGATGGGTCCAGCTTTTCGCGCCAGTGGATTTAGGTTATACGCGATCATCGCAGATTTTACGAATTTGAGGATGTGGGTGATACGCGAGAAGGAGATTACGTCGCGTCGATTTTGTAGCTGGACTTCGTTGAAGCTTCGCCGCGATTGCACGAGCACCGGCAGCAAGGTGCTTCGAAAGAAATTGACGCCGATGGGTCGCTAACTGCACCGATTAGCCAAGCGTTTAGATGTCGCACTAAATGCTGACCTTGGCTATCTGCATGTGCTTTGTTGACAATAGCCAGGTAGGTTCGTTGAACTGAAAATACCCAGCCTCTTAAATATGAGAGCTGCATTTGTTTTTTTTTTTCCCTTGAAATTCATCTAATTGCCACTAATTGCAGCCTTCCTAGCACATTTTGTGTTATCAATTATTACTATCCTAATTGATATTCAGTTGCCTTCTATGATTGAAATGTGGATTTGTTGCATTATAATCTGGATGTGGATTCTTTTCCAATATTACTGTGTTACTTGTGTTCACCAACTTGTCATTGCCTGCATGCTAATGATCCTTTACCTTGCCAATAATGTCCTAGCTACTACCTGTCCTACACATTTCATCACATCCAATATAGGTTAGTTTCTAACATAAATTATCTTTCAATCCAGAAATATTTGTGAATAGTTGAGTGAAAATTCAACATTGAAATGCCATATAAAATCTCACATCGCTCATATTATTAAATTTTGTTATCTACAAGAGCTTTCAATGCAAAATTTTCATGAACTCATTAATTAGCTGATAATATGATTCTGATATTAAAACTATGTCAGGATCATGCTCTGCTTTATCGTTTCAATGATTTCATGATAAAATATACATATTTCAGGATTTAAGATGTCCCGAAATCATAAGGATAAATATGAAACTACCAACCCATGTCGTTTACACACTATTATGTCTGCGGAGGATGCAAATTCTGGGAAGAAATCTTATTGGCCGGAATTGGAGATAACAGGCAGCATAAGGAATTTAAGCCCAAATTTATGGCGAATGACCCATCTAACTTCGCTTTATCTTAATGATAATAATTTGCAAAGGATACCTGGAGAAATTGGCCTTTTAGTCAACTTGAGAGTGCTTGATCTTAGTAGCAACAAACTCCGCAGCTTACCTGCTGAACTTGGGGATCTCATCTATCTCAGGTAATGTCAAATTTTTTATTAGCTTGCTTCTCTTACTTTTATTAAAATACTGCTTTTTATACTAATTGTAAAATATTATGTCGATGAGATTATAGAATCAATGTTTCTTGAGATTTTTACTTTTACCAAAATATTTGATTCTAGTTGTATATATAGAAGATATTTCTAAAATTTATGATTATCAAAGTCTTATGAATTTTATCCACATTCTTAAGAGTATTGGTAAATCAATTGATTACTTAAAATATTTCAAAAACATTGTATTGCATTACAATTTTAAAATTAATGAGTGCTTTTGCATTTGTCATGCAAAAAACAAATTTATAACCCTTATAACTTAATACGATTTTTAGGGAGCTGTCATTGAATAAAAATTTCCTTCGTGTGTTACCATATGAATTGGGAAAGTTGTTCCAATTACAAGTGCTAGGACTTCATGGCAATCCACTCAACAAGGATATTGTGGCAATCTATGACGAACCGATGGGGATCAGCAAGCTGCTTACGTATTTGCTGGATCATTTACAAGGTAGGATTTTATTACACTTATTTTTTGTTTTTTAATAATAAAATTTCTCAATAAGCTACATCTGGGAGATCTATCAAATGTATGTTTTAAGTAATTTTGAATACGTTCCTCATTATCTAAACAAGCAATAACTTACTATTATTAAATCACATTCTTATGTCTTGTTATTTTCCAACGAGACCTCAACAACACTTTTATTGCTTAGCAACAGGCTGCTATTACTGTTGTGATTTGGCATATTTCATAGATTTGCATGTATATCTACAAGTAAACAAGGTTCAACAAGTATAAACGGGTTTCAACAAATACTCAGGGTTATTTAAAATTAGTTCCAGGCCAGATAACTAATTATACTTTATCATAATTAAATTGTTATTATTGATTTATGAGAACCTTTAGAACGAAAGGTCATGATCTACTTTATCGACGTGACTCACCTGTTGAAAGTTTATCTTTTACCGAGAGAGGCCGCCACTAGTGATAAAGTTAAAATGTATTTCGACGAGGTAATCAAACCACTATCTATCCAATGCATTATGATAATAAGGTTTAATATTATTCAAATAATGCGAGTCGAAATAGTTTTATTCGATTGATGACGGAATCGTGAAAACTGATATAAGTTTTTACTTGAAACAATTGATTCTATCAGCTACAAATTTATTGATTCGTTTATTAATACACAATGTCATTGTTGATACACGATGAATGATTAGATGCACAAAAGATTTATTTAGAAGTCACTTTGATAAATGGGAATACAAATAATCGTTACAAATACAGTATTTATATCTTTTAGTTTATCTAAAAGAATGTAGTTTAGTTCAAGTTCAATTGAAAGTCAAAATAACAGATTCGCTAAGAAGATACTGTGATGTTATATTTTTGGCTAGGGAGCGCATAAAAATGAAAAAAAAACGGTGCAATCTGAAGTGGTCATGAGCCTCGCGACGAGGGGATATATGTACATTAACAGGGTCATCTGGGAGCAGCAGAAGGCACGCGTATAGGTGTATCCCATGGGTGTGTGTGGGTGGGTAGGTGGACGCCCTATAGCTAGCCGAGTGCGCTTTCGCAATATAATATTGCAGAGAGGAGTAGGAGGAGGACACTCTTCCCATCCATTGTACATTTTTGTTGTTCTTTTATTCCTCGATACTTATACTCTCCTTGGCTGCTCTCGCTTTTGTGTGTATCTCATTCTCTGGCTTTTTCCAGCCTATCTGATCTCTCTCCCCGCCGCAGCGCGCACTTCGACGAGTTATTGCGCGGTGTGGGTGGGAAGGCATAACTGTGCTTTCCACTCTCTCTCTCTCTCGCAGCGCCAAGTTAATGATCTTTTGTGAAGAGCACGCAAAAATTTTCAGCGCCGAGCCGAGTTATGATGGCGCGGTGTCATACCGACTCTATATATATGTATATGCCTATTCATGCGCTGCGTTTTTGCTCATTGTTCGATAATCATCGGATTTATATGCCTTTAAACCGCTAAAACTGCGCCCTCTCTCTCTCTCTCTCTTTCGCGACCGCCTGGGAAAACTCTCCTTTCCTATTGTACTTTTTTCTTTTCTCCTCGTCTGCATCCGAAGCTTGCGAATGCCTCGTTCCCTCCTTTTTGTCAGCCACGTAATAGTACAATTTTCGTCATTTCCATTCCCAAACGAAATAATCGAACAACGGCTCGAGACAGTTTTTTTCTTTCCTCTGAATTGTTGAAAGAAGCCAAGCCGAGCTTTCCTCTTCCGTTACCAGTGAAAGAAAGTTAAATTTTATTAAAACAGACTAAAGAAGCTGCAATCGCGAGCTCGGAAAACAAACAGCCGCAAAGCAGCGAGAAGCTTGGAGGGGCTCCAAAAGCGAGCGCGAGAGAGATAAGGAATGAGAATTCGAGCGGACTTTTCAATTCCATTTCGGCCGAAAAAGAGGATAGTAGTCTCAACCGCGCCCCCCTCTACTCTTTCTCCCCCCCCCCCCTCTCTCTCTCTCTCTTTCTCCGGCCGTGCGTAATAAACGAAAGGCTCGTTTGCGTGCTCTCGGGTAATCGATCGTCGATGCCAATTTCTCGCGTTCGCAGCAGACACGAGCCAAGTGGAAAAAAATCAAGTAAAGCAACTTTACTCCGATGTCTGATTTACGCGCGCCCGGAAGTTATTTTCATGCTTGTTCCGAAGTACAACTATCAATGGAAAGTTACAAGTGTATTTATATCATGTGAACCGGCCAATAATCGAGCATCTGTGAGATTTAGGACTCGCAGACAGTCAAGTAGAAAGTGCACATGCGTTAGATCCTGGCGAGGTAATAAAACAAACGTCGGCAGTTGGCGCGATTGAGCTTTCGACTTTTCCCAATCGGGCTGAAGAAGGAAGAAGAAAAAGAAGGAGGAAAAAGAGCGCTGGGCAAGCAAGTTTCTCCGTTACACTTTCAAGTCGTACAGTTTAGATTTTCGTGCCGCGTGTACGTGCGGTTCGCGTGGGAGGTCATTAGAAAGTCATGGAGAAATCTGCTGCTTGCCACAAAGATCCTCCAAGACACCTGCCGACGTGGTCGAACCAGCTCGACGGATCATTAAAGAAGGCCGAAGCTATTTTTCGGAAAATATTACGCAGCTCGGTGAGGCCACGAGCACTTGGATTACGGAACGCAGTCGAAGTCATTAATCTCACAAACACGCCTGTATGCATTTATTACCAGCACGAATTACGCCGAGAGTACGATGCTCGATCAATCATGCATATGCAGCGGATCGAGCGATCGCGCGCGATGTCGGAGACTCTGCGGCGCGTTTTTCCAGCGTTCATTTTTCTCGGCTAATCTCTCGGTGCTCTAAGTAAATTAGCCTGGATGATCGCACGCGAGCGCGGCGCAAACAGCACTTTCTTTCGGTGTTTTTTTCCCCCTCGCGGCGCCGAAGAGCCAAGCCAAAGGAAAAACCAAGAAAAAAAAACGGCCGGTCGTGCGATAGCGCCGCGCGTAATTGGGAGCGAGCGAGCGTATGTATCGCGCGCGGGAGAAAGTGTACGCGCGCGCTCGCTCGATCAAATGCTGATCAACGTTTTCTCTCGCGTCTCGTTCCTCCTTTTTTGTCCCTTCGCTCCCAAGTTCCGAATTCGGAGCTGCTTTTTCGAAGCATAATACGCTTTTATCCTTGCTTCTTCGGGACCGTACGCCGGCTTTATTCGTGGCTTAATGCCCGTGCAAAGTGCGATTCTCGCCTATCCACACGCGAATATAAAAGAGCCTCCGTTTGGATTGCATTGACAAAGAAGAGACAGGGTTCAAGCGGATCTAGTTCGACGCGTGAATAAATACATACAAAGACAATTCTATTCCCGGGGAATGATCATAGAGTATTGTTCCATTTTCCACTTTTCCAGTTGTGAATAATAGTGGTCGAAGAATATGTAAGCGCGAAAACATCAGAACTCAGCCGGCGATGACGCGTCGCAAGGCTTGTCGCATCTTTCTCGTTAGTTTCCTTTCACTTTCGTTTGTCATCGCGACGCTTCCTCATTTGCCGTACTGCTAAACTGAAAAGTCATGGAAAATGCCACTTGTCCGCGGCGGAGGCAAGGATTAGCGTAGATCATGGTTGCTTGTCTGATGGAGCTTTGTCTGTCTTGAGAAATTCACAGGATCGATTGCGTTGATTTACCTTACTGCGCCATTCATTAAAACGCAATTTGGCCAAAAAAGCAGTGACCGGCGGCAAACTTTCTCTTGACTCGCGACGGGTTAGACTCGGAAAACGCGTTGCTCGGCGCTATACTTTGGTTTATTTATAAAATAACCGCACGGCCGCCAAATTAATGTAGCGTCAGTGATAACGCATTTAACTCTTTTTTTTTCAGTCAGTTTAGCGAGTTTTTGTTTCGTGCAGCTAGTGAGCTTCTATATTTCATTAAATGGAAGGCGCCAGTAGGAATTGCACACGAAATTCAAGTGATTCCGTGCAACGATTGCAGTTTAGAAAGTGCTCGCTCGCTCGCTCGCGCTCGGGTTAGTTTATATCCATGGAAAAGCTATAAAAACGTCTGCTCTCGATCGATGGTACTTTACGTCACCGCAGAGCTAAAACCGTCCAGATTCTCTCTCTCTCTCTCTCTCTCTTTCTTTCTCGTTGGCTGCTGTTCAATATTAAAAAATCGCATTGAAATTCCTCTCGCGGCTCTGCTGCGACGACATGATTCGGGACTGAATTTGTTCGACTCGCTCGAGCATGTCGCCAACCGGCCCATTCGAGATCGCGAAACAATGTCGGAGTACCGGCAGCCAAGAGCACAAAGCGCGGAGAAAGCTCGCAGCGGAGGCCGTAAAAGTTGCATAAGGCAGCAGCCGAGCACTCGTCTGTGATGCGGCTCGGAGATGCACTCGCGAGGTAGCAGACGTCTAGGTATGTTTGGTTGTCGAGACGCGCTTCCCCCGTTGGAGACTGCAATATAGCGCGGCGGCGGCAGCGGCGGCGGCGGTGGCGGCGAGTTTCCGGGCGTCAAACGGAAAAGAGCCTCGCGCGTGCCTCGTGGGCTTCTTTTTCTCTTTCTCCCGCGTACGTGACGCCTTGGCAATGCTCGCCGCGCAGGCACAATGAGCTCGCTCTTTTACTTTCGCTTCCAGAGCTGCTCTCTTCGTCTCTCCCTCGTTCTTTGTCGTCGTCGTCGTCGTCGTCCGATGGAGATGCATGATTAAACGCTCCCCCAGAGCTGGTTTGCCACGTCTGATCTCGATAACGCGCTCTCTTACGACATTGCGCTCTTATGCCTGTATGCCTCCTCGAAACAAGTCCAAGAACGCACCATTGATGCGGCGCACGCTCCTTATGGAAAACCAAAACATTTTTCCTTTGTCAGAGCTTGCGCAACGTCTGCGTTGCGTCGCGTTCGTTCGCTCCTTGTTTTACCGCGACTATTCCGAAACTCCTAGTTGGCATATTTCTAAAATGCATTGCTGTAAAGACGATTATTTTTGCATTCGCTGATCGATTGGTCGTAGCAAAAGAGATT